TTCTCTTGCACATTGAGGACATTGTGCCATTTAAGTTTGGGGGGAATGGTGCTTTGCAGTGTTAACTTTAAATTCAAAATTTTGAACATGACTAGTGTAATTGAGGGATATTTCTACGATTGGTCCATATCTAGCTATGATTTTGATTTTTTGAGGACTATAATGTTTAAAATTTAAAAATTGCTTGACTTGAGAGTCCAATACTCCTTGTATGCCTTGTGGAAGCCATTTAGGAGTAAATTTTTCAAAAGATTGATGTCTTGCTTGCACTTGTGGTCCACATCATCTTGATTTTGTGATTGTTTTGAGATTCACTCTAGAATTCTACATACTAGCATTCATTTGTGGGGTACATACTTTATTGATTATTGAATTGGTTATATCCCAATTGGGCTTGTAATGCATTGAAAGCTTTCATTCTTGATAAAGGTAGATAACAACCCATTTTCACTAAGTAGCCGGGATTCTAGCCTCATCAAGCATTGAACTTCTCGTGCCGAAAGGTGGAGGGCCCAAACTCTAGGTTAATAATTGGATTGAAAAATAAATAAAAATGTTGCAAAAGCAATAAAAGTGAGGACTTCTCTCAAAAAGTGAGAAGTAAAAAATGATTAGATGGAGGTTGTTTTGATTTGTAGCCTAGTTGATTCGAGCTTGTAAGTCCATAGGGGTGTTTGAACACCTAGTGCCCTAAAGCCGTCTAGTTTGGGAGTCATTGACCTAACGCTCGATCTCATGAATCGTTAGAAAGCTTAATAGATCAATACATTGCACCATGCTTCCATCTTTGATCCTCTAAAAAAAAATGATGAGTGAAAAGAATAAGCGCACCTAGAATAATAAAGCTTTAATAAAAGGTCCACTTTTTGTCTTGATGATCAGTACTAGATTTGTGTGCTAGTTCGAGGGTAAGGATGTGATTATTTCTCTAGTTGGCTAAGATAGCAACATATTTGATGCCAGTCCACTCAAAAGGATTCTAGAGTTGTTTTGATTTACATGATCATTTTTTTGATGTGTGGAGGACCATACTTGCTTGCTTGATGTTGAAATTTTGGGAGATTGCTTAGAAATGTTTGAAACATTGCATACTTGAGGTAGTTTTCTCCCAATGCTTGTTTACAATATTGGTACCTCTTTTGAAAGAATGAGCTTAATGTTTGGGGGTACCATTTCTGGAAACCCTCACGAGACTTCACTCGTCCACTAGGGGTAACTTAGGGGTTTAAAAGGCTTATTGCATGTGCTAAGTGCAATCATGGTCCCTACGAAAGTGGCGTTCTCTATTTGTTGTTTTCTAGATTCATACTTGTGTAGTTGTTCATTTCATTCCTTTACTTCATAGTTAATTGCTAGGGATTTGCAATTTTTAAGTCTGAGGGTATGATGAGCGCTGAAAAGTGCGTATTTAAACCCCTTAAGCTTAGGCATTCTAGTACCTTTATCTATCTTACTTTACCGTTTTAGATTGATTTCAAATTTTTTCCATTTTCAGGCACTTATCCTGAAAATAAGCTAACTCAGCCAAATAAGAGCTTAATTGAAGCAATTCTGCGATGAAACAAAGAAAGGAGCAAAGTGGAGAAAGAAGGAAGCAAATGAAGCCAAAGGTGGGAAGTAACAAAGTTCGATCGATCCAACTTCAAGGTTCGATCGATCAAACACTGATCGATCTCAGTACTTCAAGATAGATCCAAACCTTGATCCAAAGCATAAAGTCCAAAGTTCGATTGATCTAACACCACCCTTCGATCGATGGAACACTTTTGTCCTTATTCAAATGATTGATCTTATCCACAGCTGTACCACCCACTAACCACTTTTGTCCTTTTCCTAAAAAGCTCAACCAGTTGGATTGATCCAGCCTCAGTTCGATGGATCTCAGCCAAGTTCGATCGATCCAAGTCCAAGGTTCGATCGATCGAACTTCCTTCAGTGTAAAAAAGTTAAAAAGCTAGCTTGTTCAATCCATCCTCTATCCAATCATTAGATAATATTATTTCACGACCCCAGCTCAATTTGTGTGTCACTTAACCTACCTATAAAAGGAATATGATGCACTTTTTGATAAATATACAATTCTAGGGATTATTCTAAAAGAATGCAAGCTTAGAGGAGGAGGAGGCTAGAGACACCATTGGAGACTCTTCATCATTCAAGGAGCAAATCTCAACCATTGAGTTAGCCCTTGAGGGTTGGAGCAACATCACCATGAGTGGCTAGACATCCTCTTGGGGCTAGAGTTAGCCCTAAACATGCTTTCTATATCTTAATCTTATGTATTATTGAGGGATTAGTGTTGTAATTAATGTTTTGACACTTTGATATATATAGATCTTAATTGTTCAATGATTTATGTGGTTAAATGCTTTCAATTGATCATTGCATTCTATCCATATGTCTATGTATGTTAGAATAGATGTTCATGTGTTTGTCTCTAGATTTTGTGTTATTGATGCATGTCTATGTGTATTGATGCTCTAGATTTAGAGATTGTCAAAACATTATGCTTAAAAGAATGCTCTTGTGATTTTCTAGATGGTCCATGCTCATTTCTTGATGGATTGTGTCTTTCCCTTAGTTTAATTAGTTTAATTTCATGTCATTAGCCTAATTGTAGTGTAGTGGTAGCATAGTTGTTAAATGGGAGGACAATCCATGCTTGTTATTTGATGTTCCATACTTTTGAATGCAAGTAACATATGTCTCTAACCTTGTGGTGTATTTGGCTTGTGAGCTTAATGAAAGAATTAATGACTTACTAGATATGTTGTGCTTTTCACATGTTATTTAGACAATATATACTTAATTGCTAGATATATTGTGCTTTTCACATGTTGATTAGACAATGTATGCTTAATTGGTCAACCTTGCTAATTGAATCAACCAAACACTCACACACATCAATATTGCAACACACAGTACCCTCATTAGTCACTTGTTAAGGGTATAGAAAAGCATTGCTTGGTGGTGACCTCTAAACGCCAAGATCTCTCTCTCTTTTACTTACTCTTTATTGCATTCAATTATTTAGTTTAATTTGCTCTTTAGTTTAATCAACCAACCAATCATTTGTTTGATCACTCGACCTACTAACCCTAATTGCGATTCCACAACCAAGTACAACTCCAATCCCTTGGGACGATCCCTACTCGCCCTAGCTATATTTATAGTGAAAGGTAGTAGTGGCTTTTATAAATGTAAAACTCTTGGCCCTCACCTTAATGCACACTCTTAAGCTTGTGGTGTGGCGACACACCAGGTCGCCATAATCTGACAGGCTACCACACTGGTCGAGCTATAGGTGCATAATCCCACATCGCCTGGGTAAGGGAAGGGTGAAGTGCTTATATGTAGGTGTGTCACTCCAATTGGTATGAGGCCTTTGGGGGTGAAGCCCAAGAGCAAAACCATGCGGGTTCAGGCCCAAAATGGATAATATCATACCATGTGGTGGAGTGGATTGTTACCAGAGCCTAACCCAGCCGAAAGTGTGCTAACGGGGACGTTGGGCCTCCAAAAGGGGTGGATTGTGTTGACTTTGTGGGCGGGTGTGCAATGGGCGGGTGCGAGACACTGACAGGCTACCACATTGGGCATGCTATAGGTGCACAATCCGACATCACCTAGGTAAAGGAAAAATGAAGTGCTTATATGTAAGTGTGTCACTCCAATTGGTATTAGGTCTTTTGGGGTAAAGCCTAAGAGCAAAACCGTGCGGGCTCAGGCGCAAAACGGATAATATCATACATATGGTGGAGTGGGTCGTTACAATATATATATTCATAGACATATATATATATACACACACACACAAACACATAAAAGGATGGAATTTAAGATCTTTCTATGCTCGATTGTCTCATCCTCTTGTTTTCTGTATTTTGCAGAAATTTGTTTTTGGGGATCAATTCAATCTTTAAGTGAAATTTTCTAATTCAAAATCCAAGGTTGTATTTTGAATCAAATGAATTTTTTTCTGAATTAAATTTTCGCATCACAACTTCTTCTTCTTCGTTTTTCTCTTTCCCCTTGTGATGAAGCTCATTCGGTTTGATTTGTTTCCCGGTTCTGTTAGACCGGTCCAACCCTGTCCAGTTTAACCAGGGTTAGTCCAATATATAAATGGTTGGCCATCACGAGAGCCTAATCTATACTTGCTTTCTAACAACGCTTTATATATAAATAAAAAAAATTAAAAATATTATAAATGAGTATTCCATGTTCAAATGGTTATTGCAAAGTTATATATATATATATAGATATATGCAATACTTTTACTTATAAAAAAAATGTATATGTTTCGTAAAATTATAATTATTTTATGGATCACTTTATGATGTTAAAAGAAAGTTTTGGATTTTGGCTTACTCAAACCGAGAGCCAAGATCTATATTTATATATAAAAATAAGGTACAAAGAAAAGAAACCAAATCAAAGAAAGACATAAAATATGCCAAAATCTACGTGATCCCATTATTATGGGGATCTTATCTACTAGATCCCATAATTACAGGGATCTTATCAACATGATCTCATGATTATAGGGATCTTACATAAACCACCTAATAAAAGGCTAAAAACAGCTAATAAAAATAAAAATAAAAATAAAAATAAAACAGGATATTTCAACACTCCCTCTCAAACTAGAGTGAAGATATTAATCAAGCCCAGCTTGGTAATCGAGGAATGAAGCAAAGATGGACCAACAAATTTGGTGAACACATTGACCGACTGATTAGAGGAACGAACAAAATACTGCTTGATAATTCCCCGAACGAACCTTCTCTTTGATAAAATGAATATCCACCTCTATATGTTTAGTCCTCTTGTGAAGAACAGAATCTAAAGCAAGCATGTTGGCTGACTTATTATCATAAAACAAGTTGAGGACTGTTTTTCACCAAGCCCTACCTCATCCAAGAAAGATCGAAGCTAGAGAATCTCATAAATAACCTGAGCCACGGCACAATACTTAGCCTCTGCTGAAGATCTCGAAACTATAGGTTATTTCTTACTTTTCCAGCATATAAGATGGTCTTCATGCAGAAGCCAGATGTGAAACGTTTGTTAGTCTTAGACCCAGCATAGTTTGCATCACTGAAACAGGATAGCTCAACCTGCTTACTAGAAGAATAGAATAATCCAAGTCCACAACAGGACTTAAGATATTAAAGAATATGATATACTGCATCCATATAAGCTGTGCGAGGAGCATAAATAAACTGGCTCACAACACTAACCACAAAAGCTAAATCAGGATGGGTGTTTGTAAGATAAATCAATCTTTCAACCGAGCGCTGATACTGCGAGGGATCAGAAAGGAAATCTCCAGACCCAGTCGAGATCTTCATATTAGGATCCATAGCAGTGGAAGTAGGTTTACACCCAAACATACCGGTGTCTTGAAGAAGATCCAAGACATACTTCATTTGCGATAAAGAGATACCCTGTTTAGATCTAGCAACCTTAATTCCTAAGAAATATCTGAGCTGCCCAAGGTCTTTGACATCAAAAGCTTTAGTCAATTGAAGCTTTACTTGAGCAATCCTAGGGATGTCATTGCCAGTAATGATGATATCATCAACATAGACAAGCAGAACAATACACTGAAAGTACAAAGAATTTTTCCCTAATTATAGAGAGAGAAACTTTACACTCTCAATGATTTTTTCACCCCTTTTCCCTCTCAATCCCTTCTATTTATAGACAGTTACAACCTCCACTAAGCTGGTCCTATCTTGTTCTCCTTTGGCTGGACTCAATTTCTCTCATTTTATCATGGGCTTCTGAAATGGCTTTATGGACTTGGGCCCATACGACGCGAACTGGCTTCATCCTGTTCGTCCATACCCGACCCATCTTATGCAATGTGGATCACTCCAAACCCGGGTCGTTTTGGTATCCTCATCTGCCCCCAATAATCTCTCTCCTCATTAATGAGGGTGAGATTATTGAAAGGACACGATCTTGGTCTGACGGCTTGGAGCAATAACTCGAGGAATCGAACGGCTGGCACAAGAACCCAGGTTTCGAGATCTGCAGCGCCACTTTTTGCCTTGTCCTTTGGAGTTCTATGTCGCTTTTACTTCTCCTCTTTATAAATTCTGATCCTTCTCTCCTTCATCCTCTCTCTTACCTCTTGCTTCTACTCCCTGTTGCTTTCTTGAACATTCCGGCAATCCTTTTTAATTTCTCCGGCAAGTTTTTCCGGTAAGTCCTTCCTTTTCGATTTTTCGCTACTGTACCGTTGCTGAGTTCATCACAAGCTGTCAAGGTTAGTTTCTTTTTTTTGAAAAAACCTCTCCTTAAAAGATGCCTTTATTGCCTTGAACTCTTCCCCTTTTTCATGGCTTCCCCTAACCTGAACGCCATTCGATCCAAGAATTGTATCCCTCGCGACGTTTCTCTCAGAGTCTACCCAACAAACTTAGACGAGAGATCTGGTGAGGGTCTTCTTCCTGGGGAAGTTTTATTTTCTGCCGTCCACTTGAACGTCATTAGGTTCCCCGTACACCCATTCTTTTGTTATGCTTTCAACAAATTGGGGCTCTGCCCCCTGCAAGTTAACCCAAACTTTCTTAGGGTAATTTCAGTCCTCCTGCTCTTGAATCATGACAGGGGTCTCAATCTTGACTTTATTGACCTTCTCCTCTGCTATCGGATTAACAAGATTTCACAAAACGACTTGTACTATCATTTCTTTCCTATTGACAAACGGTCGATCTGCACTGATAAAAGCTCATTTGAAAAGGGTTGGAGGCGGAATTTAATTGTGATTGGTGGGAATTGGCGGACTCCGCTCGGCCATTCCTTCCCTATCCCTTCTTCCTTTGGAGCCTGTTCTGTCTCCGGCTACAAAAAGCTGAAAACACATCCTACTGAATGCCACTGTGAAAGTTGTCTTCCCGTTTTTGCACTTTTCTTTGTAGATGCCTTCAAATTCCTCATGATGAACTAGTTTATAGTGTCTGCAGGGCTAGGCTAGATACCCTACAAGAAAACGTGCTGAACGATATCCCTTCAGTTACTGATTTGCTTACATCTGATAATCTTTCTGACATTTCTCTTTTAGGTTCTACAATGGAGAACATTCAGATCCCATCGTTCAGTAGGAGGAGGCGTCTTGCGCCCACCCCTTCTAACGCTCCTGCCATTATTCCATTACCTACACCTGCTTGCACATCATCTCTTCCTGCTGTCTCTGCTCTAGAGCAAGTTGTGGTTGCCCCAGCTGCGACTCATGTCTCAACCCGTTCTGCTGATGAGCCCTTAGAGCTCACCCATGCTGAGAACCCTGTTGTGGGCCATACTACTGAAGTCCGTCCTGCTGCCCCCGTCATTATGCTATCAAACATTTGTTCGACACTTCTTCAGAAAGCACTCAGGATGCTGGAAATTCTGAGGATAATGGGGGGCCAGCTAATGCTGCTCTGTTAGAAAAGAGTTTGGGAAAAAGGCCAATGCCTAAGGGCGGTCATGATCAGAGTGATATCCCACCGACCCGAAGGATAAGGATGGCTTCCTTCAGGGTTACTGAACCATCCCCTGCTGCCCAGTTCTTCATTCTTGAAGGCGAGTCAGCCAGAACCTCTGGTCCAATTCTATCCGTTCTTCCATGGCGACCTTTGCTCAGCCGTGAAGATGGATCAACCATTGGCCCCACTGACTCAATATATAAAGACCCCCTCACCTCGTTTGCCTTCTATAAGGGCTTCTGGACCCCAAAGACCTTGAAATCCAGAACAAACTGTCCTTTGGTGAGATGTTCTAACGGTTCTCGACCGCTGCTATGGAGGTGACCCTTCTTCCACTGAACTGTGTTGCTTTTCAGTTATGATTCCTTTGTACTTAGTCTGACCTGAATTTCTTTTTCTTCATGCAGACTCTGTTCGGGATGTTCACCTTTCAGAAAATAATTGAAACTCTGAATAAAAAACTCAAGTCTCTCTTTGTGGGCCTTAAAAGGTCTGTTGAAGCAGAGACTCTTCTTGAGGCCAGAGTTGCTGAGCTGGAGTCAAAGCTTAGGGACTCAGAGAAGGAAGTTGCTGACCTAAAGGCAGAGAAAGATGGTCTGGCAAACGAGAGGGATTCCCTCAGAGCTGAACGGGATTCCCTGAAGACCGAACGGGATTCTCTTCATGATGAGGTTGACGTCTTAAAAACTGAGAAGAGTGTAGCTCTGACAGAAAGGGACTCTCTCAAAGCCGAAAAGGGAGACCTTCAGCGCTCATTCATTGCTGAACGGTTATCGTATGCGAATTCCCAAGAAAAACTTATGAATAAACGGTCTTCCCTGATGAACATGATCAGCAGAGTCGAAGGGGGGATGAGGGCTCTCCTTGCTCGCTTTACCAGGACCAGTGCCATCCAGTATGCTGAAGGGTACAGAGACGGTTTTGTTGACCATTCTCCCCCTGAAGGTGAATCAAGCTCTTGTGCTGGTCCTGATGAACTAGACGCTTCTCTGGACATCCACCCCCCAAACAACTATCAAAATCCACCATGCGACCCAGCCGAGAACATTTTTATTGAATGCATAGAGGTCACATCTTCAGGAATTGTCCCACCCTTTCATCCTCTAAACATTCTTCCCCTTTCTACCATCGTGCCCTCTTCCTCTGTCGCTGCCGAAAGACCTATGCCTGCTGAGGGGGTGATTCATCTCGACTCCCCTTCTAAGGATGATAGGGCAGATGGTCCAGAAGAAGATGATGGCGAGAACGACAAGCTACAGTCTGGAGAAGATAATAATTGAGACCCAATAACAGGTTTTTTTTTTTTTTTTTCTTTAAATCTGCATGTACGGTACTATGTACCTTGGGGCCTTTTTGGCTATAAATGATAATGTTTTTGCTCAGCATCACTTTCCTCCATTGAGTTTTCTATTTTCAGCTTTGCAGTTTTTTTTTTTTTTTTTTTTTTTTTTTTTTTTTTTTTTTTTTTTTTTTTAACAAGTGTTTAACGTTCGGCCATGTCACCATTCTGTCCTTTTCTTACTCATTTCTGAGCAAGTGTTTGGCGTTTGGCTTTAAGTGCCAGCTGCCACTAACTCGCTGAATGCCTGGCGCTCGGCCTGGATGCCTCTTGCCACTTGGCTTTTTCATTTTTTGAGCAAGTGTTTGGCGTTCGGCTTTAAGTGCCAGCAGCCACTAACTTGCTGAATGCCTGGCGCCCGGCCTGAACGCCTCTTGCCACTTGGCTTTTTCATTTTTTGAGCAAGTGTTTGGCGTTCGGCTTTAAGTGCCAGCTGCCACTAACTTGCTGAATGCCTGGCGCTCGGCCTGAACGCCTCTTGCCACTTGGCTTTTTCATTTTTCGAGCAAGTGTTTGGCGTTCGACTTTAAGTGCCAGCTGCCACTAACTTGCTGAATGCCTGGCGCTCGGCCTGAACGCCTTTTGCCACTTGGCTTTTTCATTTTTCGAGCATGTGTTTGGCGTTCGGCTTTAGATGCCAGCCGCCATTAACTTGCTGAATGGGAAGAGTGTAGATTTTTAACAAAGAAGAGGCTTTTATAAAGCATGGAAATTTCATACACTTGCAAGCATGCAATTTAGAACGTACAATATGCTTGAAATTAAACTCTACTTTTACTGGTAGTACCTTTTCAGAGACATAGCATTCCATGGCTTATTGACTACCCTTCCTATCATAGTTTCTAGGATGTATGCCCCCTTCCCTATGACTTTTGCTATTCTGTACGGACCTTCCCATGGGGAGAACATCTTTTTGACTATTCCCACCTTCCTTTTCAGAACCAGATCGCCAGGAGCGAAACCCCTGTGCCTCACTTTCTTGTTATGGCTATTCACGAGCGTCTGTTGATAAGAGGCGAGCCTCACTGCAGCCGCATCCCTTTTTTCTTCCAACAAATCAAGATTGAACCTCAGCATTCTATCATTCTGCTCTTGATCCCACGCCAAGCTCCTTACAGTTGGAACCAAATGCTCGACTGGTATCACCGCTTCGGTGCCATAGGCCATAGCGAATGGGGTCTCTCCAGTTGGCCGTCTTGGAGTTGTTCTGTAAGCCCACAAGACGTTCGGTAGCTCATCCAACCATTTGCCTTTTTCATTCTCCAGCTTTTTCTTGATACAAGCAAATATTGTCCTGTTTGTGATTTTGGCTTGACCATTAGCCTGAGGATGACTGACTGCTGCTAACTTCTGATTGATTCCATATTCCTCCAGCAGCTCTCTCACTTGCTTGCTATCGAGGTTGGTTCCATTGTCCATCACGATTGACTTTGGTATGCCAAAACGACAGATAATATTATTCCAGATGAAGCGTCTTACTTGAGTTTGGGTGACACTAGGGTACGGCTCTGCTTCTACCCATTTGGTGAAGTAGTCAGTAGCTAGCAGAACGTACTTATTCTGCGATCTTGCAGTCGGCAAAGGGCCAACCACGTCCATCCCCCACTGCGCGAAAGGCCAAGGGGTGGCCATTACGTGCAGGTCTTCAGGTGGTTAATGTATCAATGACCCGAACCTCTGGCATTTATCGTATCTTCTAGAGAATTCTTCTGTATCTCATGCCATGTTTGGCCAGAAGTACCCCTGTGTCATTACTTTGTGTGCTAAAGATCTTCCTCCGGAGTGATTTCCGCATACTCCCTCATGAATGGTTCGCATAATCTGTCTAGCCTCTGTAGGGGTAGCACACTTCAAATATGGACCCGAGAAGGAGCGTCTATATAACTGATCATGCACAATGGCATACTTTGCTGCACTGGACCTAACTCTTCTTGCCTCGTCCTTACGCTCGGGGAGTGTACCACTACGTATGTAAGCCATGATTGGATCAATCCAGTTCCGCTCATATGGTATAACATTAACATGTTGAGTGCTCGGATCAGGCAGTTCTTCAAAAATGGAAGGTTGGATCAGTATGTCGACCGGGATGACCCTAGCTAAAGTATCTCCAGAACTGGATGCACTACAAGCCAAGCGATCGGCATCTTCGTTATACTCTCTCGGCAGTTGGATAAACCTGATCTGATCAAAGGCTTTCGCCTCACGCAGAACCACAGTGCGGTATGCTTCCATAGTCTCATCCTTGGCCCCATAGTCCCCATTGACTTGTCGAATGATTAACTGTGAATCACTATAAGCCATCAGATTCTTGATCTTCAATTCCTTAGCCAACTTTAGCCCAGCTATCAACGCCTCGTATTCTGCCTCATTGTTGGTCGCGCTGAACTTTAGTCTTATCGCTTGGCTCAGCGTAGTTCCTTTTGGTGTTTGCAATTGAATTCCAATCCCAACCCCCATTTGATTCGAGGAGACGTCCACGAAAAGCTTCCACCAAGAACAATTACAATCCTCCACCGTATCTTCAGCATCACAGTCAAGTAGGAAATTCGCCACCGCTTGACCTTTGATTGCCATCCTGGGCTCGTACGCGATATCAAATGAACTCAATTCAATGGCCCACTTGGTCATTCTCCCCGACAGGTCCGGTTTGTGCAGGATCATTCTCAAAGGGAAAGTTGTTAAAACGATGATTGGATGAGATTCAAAATAGTGTCTAAGCTTCCTTTTTGCGTTGACCAGCGACAAGATCATTCGTTCGGCCCTAGAGTACCTCCTCTCCGATTCAGACATCGTCTTGCTAACATAAAACACCGCGAACTGCTTGCCCTCTTTGCAACGGATCAGAACAGCACTGGTTGCTATACTAGACACCCCGAGATATAGAAAAAGTTTCTCATTCGGTTCTGGAGCAGACAGAATTGAAGGATTACGCATGTACTCCTTCAGGCTGGTTAGTGCCTGCCATTGTTCATCCCCCCAGGTTTATCTTCCATGCCCTCGTATTGTATCAAAGAAAGGTTTACAGCGGTCTGAAAGCTTGGAAATAAATCAGCTCAGTGCGGCTATCCTGCCTGTGAGTGCCTGCACCTCTTTAATTGTCTTTGGCTCTGCATTCCTGATCAAGGCTTCTGCCTGTGCTGGGCTGACCTCAATTCCTCTCTGATTGACCACATGTCCCAGGAATTGTCCGGAGCTTACACCGAATGAGCATTTGGCCGGATTAAGCTTCATCCCATACTGGCACAACACATCGAACACATCTTGTAGGTGCGCTAAATGATCGCTCTTCTTCTTACTCTTAACCACTATATCATCAATGTAAGCCTCGACAGTGCTGCCCATCTGGCCCTTAAAAATCTTGCTGATCAGCCTCTGGTAAGTAGCTCCAGCATTTTTTAATCCGAATGGCATGACTTTATAGCAATGAGTCCCTCGTTCAGTAACAAATGAAGTTTTCTCTTCATCAACTGGGTCTATAGGAATTTGGTTATAACCAGAATAAGCATCCAGGAAAGTTAACCGCTCATATCCTGTGGTGGCATCTACCATTTGATCAATCCTGGGCAATGAGAAACTATCCTTTGGGCAGGCTTTGTTTAGGTTGGTGAAGTCGATGCACACTCTCCATTTCCCATTCTTCTTCTGCACTACAATGACGTTAGAGAGCCAGGCCGGGTACTGAACTTCTCTGATAAATCCAGCTTCAAGCAGCCGATCAACCTCCTCAGCTATAATCTGGTTTCGTTCTGGAGAAAATCTTCTCTGCTTCTACTTCACTGGCTTTGCATTCGGATCCACATTGAGGGAATGGCAGGATACAGCAGGATTTATCCCTGGCATATCTGAATGGCTCCATGCGAATACATCCGCATTCCGAATCAGGAAATTAGTCAACTCTAGTCTTTCTTCTTCAGTGAGTTTGGTGCCCACCCTTATTGTTCGGTCTGGTTTCTCATGATCAATCTTTACTTCATGAAGGGGTTCTGTGGTCAGAACTGGTGGCTCCTCCCCCCCAACCTTGCTGGAAGAAGGGTTCTGTAATTGCTATTTTGGAATGGCGGAACGGATGGGATTTTTCTCTTTTCCAGCAGATTTCAAAGTTACTGAATAACATTCTTTAGCCGCAACCTGGTCCCCGTGTATATCTATCACCTTGGTCCCATCCGGACCCAAACATCGCATCACTTGATGTAAGGTTGATGGAACGCCCTGAATTCTGTGAATCCATCCTCTACCCATCAAGAGGTTGTATGATGGATAAATTTCCACTACCACGAAACTTTCATTCAAAACCTGCTCAGCGACTTGTACTGCCAATTCCACTATTCCAATGGGTTCCACTCGCTTCCCATCAAATCCGAGCAACGGATTCCCTGTGGGTTTGAGTTTTTCAGGTTCGATCTCCAGTCGGTCGAACGTCACCCGGGGCATGACATTCGCACTACTTCTTGGATCAATCAGGACTCTCCGAACCAGGCATTCTGCAATCGTTAGACTGACGACTAGTGGATCTTCATGAGGAATCTGAACGCGTAGCAGGTCCGTTTTATCAAACTTTATCGACGTGGACGCGTTCTGCTGGTGCAAAGCATGCACACTGCCAACTCTTCTTTTCAGCTGGGCCTGGCGTAACCTCGTCCTAAGCAACTCCTTTGACTCCGTCGTTTGTTCAGGCCGGCCATGAATTGCGTTTATAATCCGGACGGGTTGGGAGTTGTGTTGGTTCGGCCTCTGGTTCCGCTTGATTTGTTCAGTCGGGCGGTTATGCTCTTGCGCCGGACCCTGAACATAGCTTGCAAACTCCCCCTTTGCGATCAGCATCTCTACCTGCCTCCTTAGGTTCCTGCATTCGTTAGTCTGATGCCCAAAATCACTATGGAAAGCACAATGTTTAGTCTGATCCCTCTGTTCAAGAGGTTACCTGATTGGCAGAGGAGGACGAAACTTATCTTTGTTCTCCTAGTATAGCCTTGCTAAAGTGACTCTGAGTGGAGTGATTGATTCCTCCTCCCTGGGCCTCTTCTCCACCTTGCATGAGGGGTGACGTTGCGGTTGAGCTTGTTTTTGCCGGATCTTGGCTTTGGACTTCTCCTCCGTCGAAATAATTGACGTCTTCCTTGAATTAGCTGCTCCTTCCTCCTCGAGGTGAACAAAACTGTCAGCTCTCTCGTTCAGCTCGTCCATTGTCTTTGGCGTATTAACCACCAAGATGGTGTGGAATGGCGTCCCCCGATTCATTGCGAGTTTAAATGTTTGGACTGCTGTTGACGGGTGACACTCCATTACCATGCTTTTGACGAGGTTGAACCGGGTGAGAAAAGCTTGGAACCGCTCATCCTCATGCTGCTTCATTGTAAAAAGGCTCGATACATCCTTAGTCGGACGCTTATTCCCGTAATACTGGCTTATGAACTTATCACATAAGTCCTGGAAACTGGCGATTGAGCCTTGAGCCAGATTTTTGAACCAATTGAGAGCTGGTCCAGCCAAGCTCGTAGGGAAACACTTGCACATCAAAGGATCATTATTAGTATTCAAAGCCATTTTCAACTGAAAATGGTATATGTGATTGACCGGATCGGTTGTTCCGTCAAACAGAATGAAGATCGGCATGGAAAACTTCTTCAGATTCGGTGCGTTCCGAATTTCATTAGTGAACGGCGATGCGACCGTCCTTGCTGAGGAACGCAATGCATCATTTTCTCTTAAAAACCGTGACGAAAATCCTCGATCGGCAGATCTCCTTTCCGAACTATTGTAATCAACTGTCACTAATGAAGGCCGGTATGACGGATCGAATGACCTATCCTCCGCAAATTCATTCCGCCATGGTGACGCAACCCGATGTTCATACGCCTGTGCTTCCTCCCTCATAATCCGTTTGTGATGTGGTTCCAGACGAACAGATCCTTCCCGATCCTCTACTCGGCTGATATTCAGAGGCAGATTACCGATTATATCTTCATCACGACGTAGACCACCACGATTGACATCTTCTGGATCACCTTGATGATCAGCTTCGGACGGTAAAGCTCCCTCTCCTTTAGGAGGTGGCCTCGGAATTGCAAGAGCCTCACGATGCTCCATTCTAGCTCGTAGCTCTGCATTTTCTTTCCTCAAAGCATCGATCATGTTCATCAGCTCATCGAGCTTTGTCTGCTGGCCGTTCTCCAAAGGATTCGAGTTCGCCTCTCCGATCATCATTCCAGATCGGAGCAAAGTCATCAACTGCAGACTTCTTGACCAAATCGGAGCTCCGCTAATGCGCGGACACCAGATCTGAACTTACACTTGCTGAATTCAGTCCGCTACTGGCCGGATTCAGTAATCACAATACATCGCAATTGCGCAGTTCGCCGGATCAAGCACAGATCTGATCTGCTTGGATCAGACGCCAATTTTCTGAAATCAACCGGAGCCTAGACTAGTCAAGACAGATCGTATTATCACCAATGATGATTCAACTTTCGCAGATTAATCGTCTTCCTCGCAGAATGCGTTGAATCGATCCGATCTGGAGTGACATCAATCAATCCTTCCTGTTCTTCCCACAGACGGCGCCAATTGAAAGTACAAAGAATTTTTCCCTAATTGTAGAGAGAGAAACTTTACACTCTCAATGATTTTTCCACCCCTTTACCCTCTCAATCCCTTCTATTTATAGGCGGTTACAACCTCCACTGAGCTGGTCCTATCTTGTTCTCCTTTGGCTGGACTCGATTTCTCTCATTTTATCATGGGTTTCTGAAATGACCCGGGTTTGGAATGATCCACATTACATAGGATGGGTCGGGTATGGACGAACAGGATGAAGCCAGTTCGCGCCGTATGGGCCCAGGTCCATAAAGCCATTTCAGAAGCCCATGATAAAATGAGAGAAATCGAGTCCAGCCAAAGGAGAAAAAGATAGGACCAGCTCAGTGGAGGTTGTAACCGTCTATAAATAGAAGGGATTGAGAATGAAAAAGGGTGGAAAAATCATTGAGAGTGTAAAGTTTCTCTCTCTACAATTAGGGAAAAATTCTTTGTACTTTCATACATCGACCAGTGAAGGAACAGTGGATAAAACTTGTATGATTAGAATGGCATTTAAGAAACTCCATGGATAGAATTACATCACTGAAGTGGCTGAATCAAGTTGTGGGAGATTGTTTTAATCCATACAAAGAATTTTGCAATCGATAGACCTTTCTAGCATACTCCCCCTCAGCCCAAAAACTGGGTGGACGATTCATGGAAATAGTCTTAAGAAGATCACCGTTAAGGAAAGCCTTCTTCGCATTAAGCTGACGAAGGGGCCAATTGTTAGGTAGACAAGCAAACAAACTAAGGTCAACCAACAATGTTTTCACCAAAAGGGAGAGATACAAGCTCCCATGTTTCATTATGCTGCAAAGCATCCATTTCTACCTTCATAGCAGACATCTAATTCGGATTCCGAAGAGCCTCAAACAACTTTCTGGGAATGGAAATGGAATCAAGTTTGCCTAAAAAGGCTCAATAAGACCTTAAAAGACCATTATAAGAGATATACCTCGAAATAGGATGATCAGTACTACAAGCGAATCCAAATCTAGCAGGGGGTTTGCAGTCCCGAGTTGGATACTGAGACTCAGGAACATGAACATTAAGGCAATATAAAGGAGAGAGAGATGTACTTGAACCTGAGTCTGAGGAGGATGAAGGCAGTGGAGGCAGAGCACGAGGGTGGCATGAATAGACCTATAAAGGGGGTGAGGAAACAACAAGAGAAGGCTCTTCTTAGAAATAGGAAGAGGACGAGCAAGATTAGAAGCCTTTTGATCGAGAGTAGACGTTTCCTGCAAGATAATGTTAGAACCATAAAAAGGGGTATGCTCATGAAATGTGACATCATGAGAGTGATACATGTGTTTGAGTAGAAATATAAAAAGAAGAAAAATGAGAGAATTATG